AACAATGTGTGAATTTACATATAAGCTTATGTTCCAAACACTTTCAACTCACGTGTATTAATTTATAATAAAAAATTGAAGAACAATTTATGATAAAAAATTGAAGAACAATTCGGGCAAAGTCTACATTATTACCAATTCATAACATTACTTAAATGCAAAATGAGGAGAGTTAGGGAACTCAGCACCACCAATAATAATATTAAAAAGGAGCAAATTCTGATGATTACGTGTCCAAAATTTGATCACTCAACAAGACAATAACCTTAAAAGCCAAGCTATAGCAGAGTATTACTTTAAATGAGGTTCCACAACTCAATTTTTTTGGGAACCTGTGCTCATGTTCTTACCCCTTTCTTTCCTTAGACCATAACAGTGTCTAAATTGCATTATTTCAGATCTATACCTTAAAGTTTCTCCAATCTTGCTTTGGCAAATAGAACTATCAAACAGAGACAAGCAAAAAAGCACATAATTGTGGGTTATGATACACAGTGACCTACCTACATGGTAGTAGTTGAATGGTATTAAGCCCGTGGCTCAAAGGGCCGGAGGGGGTGGTGCTCAATGTGTTGAAACTTGAAAGGAGTACTCAATCTACTAAACTAGGTTGCTTTGATAAGCAAGCAAACACACATTATAAGAAGATAACAAAAACCAAGTAATTTAAGCAGAAAATGCAGATACAGTAGTTGCCTGCATATCTACAAACTCCACTTTGAAATCACTGCTGATGTTATTAAGATTGAGAATATGACATGAGATTGTGGTTACAGCTAAAGAAGATCTTGGGTGAGATCTAATCCTTAAAAAACAATGAGGAGAGAGAGAAAGAGAACAAGAACATGTGTGGCATCTCTCATAACATCAACATTACATAGATACCAAAAGTATATAGCAAAGATACAGGAATGATATATAAAGTTGGTGAAACCCATTAGATTCTACTATTTAATGATCCATTGAAGATTGGTTTCATACTTAGTTCAGTCACACAGATCCTTTGAACCTCTATCCTCTCAAATCTAGGGAAGAGACCACCTGTGTCTGCTAAACACCTCCTTAAAAAATGCCATAAACCTGCCTCGTGCTCCCTCGGTTTCGTGTTTCATGACTCTTCAACTATGAACCAGGCAGAGAGAGAGAATATCCAGGAAGCTTCATTGTCATATTAGGCTTTTACACAAATATTTATAGATTCCGTTGACAAGGAATATATTAATAGTGGGTGGTCTCTAGACACAAAATTATTCTACCTATTCTTTTCTTATCTCCAACTGCTTTGTACAGCTTTGAGCAATCAACTCCCAAAAACAAAGGAACCCAATTTAATATTAGTATCATTCTAACTATCTGTGAGTTCTGCCTCCCTATTTAACTAGTCCTCATGAATATGGAGACACATGCCAGCACTCCCCTCTCTTTCTCTGTCTCCTCTTCCCACATTTCCTACCTTAACTCTCTCATCTCTTCCCACATTTCCTGCCTAAACTCTTCCATTTCTTCTGATATCAACCTACAGGCCCTTCTCAGAAAATCCACATAAAAGGCAGTTTAGTGCACAAAACTCCAGCCATTATCAGCATTACAATCCTCTCTTCTAGATAGTCTCTACCCTTCTTTTTCACATATTCAAAAGTAAGATGTGGCCACTGGCTTTGTGCATTGGAGTTTTGGTCTTTATAAGCATTACACATTGGGTTTTCAGATGGAGGAATCCAAGGTGCAGTGGAAAACTCCCACCGGGTTCAATGGGATGGCCACTTCTTGGAGAAAGTCTTCAGTTCTTCGCCCCCAACATGTCATCTGATATTCCTCCATTCGTCAAAGAGAGAATGGAAAGGTAATGCTATTATTATAACTTATCAAATTAGCTGTTCTAGTAGTTCAATCACCATCACTACCATCATCATCGTCTTCATGTTCTGCATTTTATAATACCTTTGACTATCACCTTCCAGGTATGGGCCCATATTCAGAACAAGTTTGGTGGGTCGTCCAGTCATAGTATCAACAGACTCAGATCTTAATTATTTCATCTTCCAACAAGAGGGACACTTGTTCCAGAGCTGGTACCCGGACACCTTCACAGAGATCTTTGGGCGACAAAATGTAGGTTCTTTGCATGGGTTCTTGTACAAATACCTCAAAAGCATGGTGCTCGATCTATTTGGTCCTGAAAGCCTTAAAAAGATGATTCCTGAAGTTGAAGAGACAGCAAGTAGAAACTTGAAAATGTGGTCAGATCAGGACTCAGTTGATTTGAAGGATGCAACTGCAAGAGTGAGTTCAGGCTAACTATTTCTTCTTCTCATTAGAATTTCCCAAAACTCTAATGTTTCAGATGAACTAATAATATTCTGAAGTTTACAGATGATTTTTGATCTGACTGCAAAGAAACTGATCAGTTATGATCCTGAGAAGTCCTCAGAGAATCTGAGGGAGAATTTTGTGGCTTTCATGCAAGGATTAATCTCCTTCCCTTTGGACATTCCGGGCACCGCATATCACAAGTGTATGCAGGGAAGACAAAAGGCAATGAAGATGCTGAAGAACATGCTACAGGAAAGGCGATTGAAGCCAAGGAAGCACCGAAGTGACTTCTTTGATCATGTCCTTGAAGAACTTCAGAAAGAGGATACAATCCTCACAGAAGCAATTGCTCTGGATTTGATGTTTGTGTTGCTATTTGCCAGCTTTGAGACAACTTCACTGGCTCTGACTTTAGCCATTAAATTTCTTGTGGAACATCCTTTGGTGTTGAAGGAATTAAGGGTAAGTGATGATATCTATTAAGATTAGAACAACCTATCAATATCCTTTCAATTTATTTCTCCCATTGACACGCACTAATATTCTCCACAGCAAGAACATGAGGCAATTCTTAGAAGACGGGAAAACTTGGATTCTGGAATCACTTGGAAGGAATACAAATCAATGACTTTCACAATTCAGGTATTCAATCAATGTCACTTTCTCTTTTACAAAGCTAGAAAAGATTTCGAAACCAATGGCTTGAGTAGCTCTACTGTGCTAAAAGATCAATTAAAATTGCAGTTTATCAATGAAACTGTCCGACTAGCAAACATAGTTCCTGGAATTTTCAGAAAGACACTCAGAGAGATCAAGTTTAAAGGTATATTAAAGATTAAATAGTCGATTTCCTGCTACAGAAACTGTATGTTTTTATCATCTGAAGGTATACTTACCTGGCCAACAAAATTTCATTATGTAGGCTACACCATTCCATCTGGATGGGCAATTATGGTTTGTCCTCCAGCCGTGCACTTGAACCCTGCCAAATATAAAGAACCCCTTGAATTCAATCCATGGAGATGGGATGTAAGTTAAAAATTTTAGAATTTTCTTCTATTTATTGAATTTAATTTTTTTTTCACATGCAAGCAGTTTACTTCTGGTGAGAAACTGGACTAGGATTAAACCAATTCACCTTATCTTTCTTCTGAATTCTCAAATTGTGCAACAACTGATGGCATACAGGGAGTGGAACTAAATGGTGCAACTAAACATTTCATGGCTTTTGGAGGTGGCATGAGATTTTGTGTTGGAACAGAGTTCACTAAGGTGCAAATGGCCGTATTCATCCACCACTTGGTAACAAAATTCGAGTAAGAACATCACATATTGTGTCTATAAGCAAACATGCATGAGAAAAGAAGAGAGTGGCTAACCTGTTTTACGTCGGAAATTCTCAGGTGCTGCACCATCAAAGGAGGAGATATTGTCCGAACACCCGGTTTACAATTTCCAAAAGGTTTTCATGCTCAGATCTCTGTGAGAGACAAATAGAGGAAGGAACCAACGTTCTATTTTACGATCCCCCGTGATGTACAGGCAAGTCATTTGTATTGCTAGATGCATGAGACCAAGAAATTTCAACGTAAATGCTACCAAACAGGATTGATGTTCTGAAGCTACAAGAGGATGACGGTCAACAACTGCTTCAGTGTGTTAAAAGAGGGGGGTGGGAGGGGGGAAGCTCCTTACGATCTCACTGAAAAGGAAGACCAAGCCGAGGAACATTTTTCTCAGAACCGAATGAAAAGTTTTGTGCTTTTGCTTTTGTTTTTGCCTCAATGCAAAAATGTCACAAGCTGGAAAAAAAAGGGAAAATGAAATGGAAAAGGTTATGCACAAATTCACTACATAACATGTATCAGTGTAAGAACTAGTAGTAACAAGTTCCATTATCACCCCTTTTACCTCACTGAATCTCCATGTGACGAAATCAAATATATGAAAAGATTTTTCAAGTTCTTGGTTCCCCAATCCCACCAACAACAAAACAAGTGAAAAATGGAAGTAGGAGAAATTTCAACAAAATATTCCAAAAAAGGAAGATGCTTGATATATGATAAAAAGAATTTTCACCGATCCAATTCCTCCTATTCTCGCCGCTTAGAGTGCAACTTAAAGTGTGGGTCATCTAATGGTGCATGTCTACGCTTATGATGTTCCTTTCTGTTTACATCACCATGCATAGCAAATTTGGAAATTTCTTCAATGGTATCTTTTTCTTTTATGCGTCTGCGATGCCCAACATTATCATCCTCTCCTTCATTCAAGTAAACTTGCTTTATGATGCCTGGACTCTTGGTTCTTCCATGTTTGTTCTTGTCCTTGTGAACATGGTGAAGGTAATAATGATAATCAGTGTCCTGTATTGAATATTTGTGCCTGTGCTCGTTGTGGATACTTCTTCGCTTTTTCTGAGCATCATGCTTATGATGCCTTACTTCCTGCTTATGATGTTTTTTAAAATGGACTTGTGGAACCTCATCATCAATTCCATACTTCCAGATATATCCACTTCTATGTTCATCAGTCCAGTAATGATCTTCCCACCAGTCATAAAGAGGATCAAATACTCCATTCTGATGTAGAAGCCAGAGTAGCACAAGCACTGCAACTCAGAAAGTACAGAACATTATCAAATTTTCACTTGCTATAAAATGCAGACATCAACCTTATACATAATTTTCCAAAGAAAAGAGCAACCACCTGTGGGAAAAATTGCCAAAAGTAGACCAAATATCACTATCCAACTCATACAGATATACTGTATGTGGCAACTGAAGTCGAAGAAACCAGAGCATTTCATTCTGCTCATCAAAAGAATCATGAGAACACATCTTTTAGATGCAAAGCCAGAATTACTACACTCATGTGACATCAGCAAAGAATAAAAACAGTGTATCTGACAGACAGACAGACAAATTAAAACTCCAAATTTATGTATTCGAATGAGAAAAAAAATTATCCAAGCTAAGTGAGAATGCAAATAGATGTCGACGTAGTGTACTTGAACTATGAACACAAATCCGTGAATACCCAAATTCCAAAGTATGTTTCAATTTCCAAGTATCTTAGATGCATGTACCTGGCTGAAAAAAAATACCTGCAAGTTTTTCCCGTGATGAAGTCTGCCAAACCATCCCACAGTTTGTTCCACAAGTCCTCAATAGATTCAAAGAAACCATTTATACTGGTCTTTGGAGGTTGAAAAGGTATCTGGAAAAACAATACAGTGATTTTTTGTGATTTGATTAACAATGTACACCAAACCGTCATAGTTGCAAGCAATACATTATCATCACTTTCTGCACTTTTAAGATGTTTCCACCAAACATACTTTCATACACAGATGGAATGTATTGCTTCATTCAAAAGTACATCCAAAACATACGATCACCTAACATCCAGTGTTTCTTTACTTTAAGAAGTTGTGCCAAATGCATCCTTTGAAACAGCTAGTTAGTCATACCAGTGGGTGACTATAGCCAAACCACATAAAATAAGTTTACATATTTAATTTTTTTTTTTTTGTTATCATTGTAAACATATCTCGATTTGTGGTCGTATCATGTATAATTTCTGTTCACAGGTCAAAATCCAGTAGTTCATTGTCCGGTAAAAATTCTCTTGCATTGTTTTGTTCTAATAATTTATAAGTTCTTCTCTCCGTGATTGTTTTCCATGGTAAGGACTGCTAACAACATAAAATATATTTCACAACTCTAACCAGCTAAGAATATAACCCACATAACCCCATCGCATCAGGTTCAGATCAAGTTGTTCCATTCAGGGCAGGTTTTGGAAATCCAAACAAGTTTTACTTCAGAAAAAAAGACATTGCAAATATTTGGATCGTGAGAGTCAAACCAAAGACTTAAAGGTTGTAATCGAGATCCCAACCACGATCTTCCTTAACCTAAACTTTTTTAGCACATTAGTACATAATAGACGAGCGTTAAAGTGGTGTTTCATACCTAATGTCATCTACAAAGAGTAACCATGTGTTCTAATACATAAAGTAAATCACACTTGACCAACAAAAAAAAGACCTTGAGTATATATTTACGAGACTAAACATTTCAATATTTCATATATGCGCATGCAAAAACACCTTTTTAGAACTACATTCTACAATCAGTATTAATAATAACGACTATAACTAAAATGATACTATCATTATTCTTAGATTTTAACATTTGTTAGGATAATAACTTTGGTAACATATTTGAATGTTCTCCTGCTTTGATCAGTTGACCCCAGGGTTGGGTAAGTGACCAATTGATCTGGACCCTTTTTTCTGAGTTATTTCCCTGGCCAAATCTCTTAACTATGCTACAAAGTCAACAACTTTAAGAGGGAAAAATAGAATGGCAAAGGGTAAATTATCCTCTGAATGCTTCCTGCTGCATATGACTCCATTGTAGGTGTTATAGTCATATGACAAAATCTAATTATATGAAGTAGCTACATCTACTGTTCATTTAATAGGTCAGCAGAAGCCAAATTTTTGCATATGACCTGTGACTTTAGGAAATGCCAATGGGCCGGACAACAATTAAATCTAAAAGCACTGTGGAACCTGTGATCCATTATCAAGAACAGTGGCTGTAGTAGTGAATTGGCACTCAGCTTTATCAACTTCATTAAAATCAGAGTCCTTAAGTATAGCTGCAACCAAACATGCTTATATGGCCTGAGATTTGGTAGTTAGAATTAAAATTATTTATCTTCGCAAAAAACTGAAGAGCCGCACAAGTCTAATACTCAAACATACCTACACACACATATTTTGCAGCTTGATCGGTGGTTGGGTACAATTTGAATGATCGAGTTGTAATTTCTCCGGCCTTCATTATATAAAATTGTTCCTATGGGAGAGTAAACATTCAAAACTGTTATCCCTTGGAAGATTATCACAACACAGATATTGGCCAACTCATACATCAGATGCATAGTAATATTTTTTTGCTTTTTGTGGGGGCGACAGAAGAGAAAATGTATTAGTAAAATACCTCCATTTGGCTGATGCCAGTTGAGCAATCAAACTGCAACACAAAGAATTTGATCACAGACAAATTAAAGAGAAAAACAGTGGCTGAAAGAGCAAGATTGCAAAAGTTTCATCCAAATTTACGTTCATTTTTTTAGACTCCAATTAGTAATATTCGCCAAAATTTTACTGGCGAATATTAATCCCAACTCATAAGCAAAGTATCTATATCAATCCCTTCTCAAGCAAGAAGAAAAATGCACGAATATTCAATTATCCCCAAATTTTTGTTGTCAAGCTAATAATTGACATATAGTAGAATAACATGACATATGGATCAGCACAGAAAACTCTGCAACTGCAATGTGATATGTCAAGAAAAGATTATTGAATTATCAACTCACCGTTAGGCTATAAGATGCTTCCACTTCACCAATATTTTTAGTTGTGATTGTAGCAGTCCCAAACTGAGTAAGGGCTTCAAAGGTTGGGATAGTAATGCTTAAAATTTTTCCAGGACTCCTGTAAAGAAAAGGAAGTATATGACACTGCTGCCCAAAACAATAAGAAGAAAGCCCTTCTACTAAAATATCACATGAAATCATAAATGCACCATGTTGAAGCTTTCATTGTGTTCTTAATGACAAGGAGATTAATAAAATGTCTGTGACTAAGCTAATGAGCAAAAAAAATTTGTACTCCAAAAGTATCTAAATAAAAAACAGAACCAAAATCTAATCAATTTCCTTGCCCAGTTCTGTTTCTTTGAGGAACAATGTGCAACAATAACACTTTAGCATTTAAATGACCACTTTTATCTGCAAACCAGTTTGAGCAGCATCGTGCACAGGGGAAAAGTGTTTCAAGACCAAAAATGTATCCTCCCTAGCCCATATTACACAAATGATAGTGTGAAAAAATGCATATTGCCAAAATGAGGATGGTATCAAAGACATACCCATTTGAAGTGTACGGGATAATCATTGAACACATGAATCCTATGCTATTGGTTACAGCAAGGGAAAATAACATGGTTCCATCATTTGTAATAAAAACCACAGAATAGCCAGATAAAAGAGACTTGTAACAAAGAAAAAAATAAATTTATAAAAAGTTGAGGCCACGAGGCAACGATATAAGACGGGCTTTGACCCCAGATAGAGCTTAATAATGGAAGCTATTCATGTTGCTGGCACGTGCTATTGCAATTGGAAGTGCTGGTGAATATCAACAATTGGCATGCATTTCGATGATAATGAAAGAAAAAAGAAAAATAGTAAGGTCGCTTTCTGAGGGCACCTTTGATAGACATATTCTATATCATCAGCACTTAGTTCTATCAAAAGGTTTGTATTAAGAACTTCTGTGATTCCTATGGAAAACGAGTGACTCCCTGCATTCTGCACAGGCAAGCAAATGACTAAGGATCCAATGAATAGAAATCGTTTGTGAAGACGAAATCTGAAATTGCTGACACATAACTGGATGCTGGTTTATCCTTTCAAACCTTCCTTGGACACCATAAAGTGGCACCTGACTCCTACTGATTCGATTCTGGTCTGCCTGTCACATTAAGATACTTTCAATTCAAAATAACAATTACTAGACTTTTAAGCACTACTCTTGTTGTACAAAGTGTAAAAATTCAAAATCTTCCAGGTAATTTACTCAGAGAATAATGGTAAAAAATTCTGAAACTTCCTAGATAGCATACTATAGTAAATCTAGTAAAGCATTCCAAGGTTAAGCCAGGAGATATAAGCTCAGCATTTATTATTAAAAAAAAGGACGAAATGCCCAATTTACCAAGATGGTCTAATATTGCCATGAAGATGAAAACAATGCAGATACAATCATATTCCTATGAACCAGCCAATTCTAAACAGGAAAGTTAAAATATTAAAATCTGTTGGAGATATAACAGCAGCCTAGTTTATTAGGGTTTTATTAAGTTTTCCTTTTTTTTACCTTTTTGTCCTTATTGTAACTCTCATTGACTATATATACGGGGACTCTACACTTAGTTTGTATCCCATTCACTCACAAATATTTCTAGTTGGTATCAGAGCCACCAACTCTAACCCTAACCCACGACTGCCCAGACCAACCAAATCAGTCAGTCGGCACAGATTCACTCCAGCGAATTCAGACCAGCAGCCTGCCACCGAAAATCCTAAACCCAGCCCATCACCGACAGCCTCACCCTAGTGCACCGACTGCCTGCATAACCCACTGCACCGACTGCCCAACAAACCAGCAAAGAACTCCTCACCATCACCGACAGCCTTCGATAACCCATTGCACCGACTGCTTAACAAACTAGCAAAGAACTCCTCAAACAGCAACTCCATATTGCACCGGCTGCCTCCTCAAACATATTGCCCCACCGACAAACATACCCAAACAGCAATTCCAAATTGCATCGGCTGCCTTCTCAAACATATTGCCCCACCGCAAACATAACACACCCTGCACCCAAAGCCCAACCCAAAACCCACATCAAACCAGCAAACCAAACATACGGCCAGCGAACCAGCCCACTGTCGGATCGCGCTCTTTCTTGCAGCTTCGTGTTTTACCTTTGTGCTCCACATTCTTTGTCGTAGTGTTGCCATATCTTTGCGCCACTACCCTTCTTTTCCGCCCTTTTAAGAGGAGTTGAATCCTCTTTTCTGTTGATCTGCCCTTGATGCAGTAGATCACTTATTTATATATTTTGGATTTCTGGGCACCATGACCTAATTATTTGAGAGCTTTTTGGACCTTCTTTATTTGTCGCTACTGTTCGACTGAAGGTATATTGTTCTCCCTTATTTTATTCCTCTATTTATCTTAGAGTTATTTTTCTGTTACGGGTGCCCTAGTATTGTTGTTGATATGGCTACTACTGAGGGACTTGAGAATCCTACTGTTGAGACATCTATGGGTACTTCCACTTTTATGTTTGACCAGTATACAGTACCTACTAGCACAGTTACATTACCAGTACTACTGGGCATGATCTCTCAAAAAGTTACGGCACAGTTGTTGAATGGTCGTAACTTTGCTGAGTGATCTCGCTCATTCCAGATTTTCTTAGGCCGTATAGGGAAGTTTTGTTGGCTGACGGGATCTCACCCAAAACCAGTTGATGCTGACCCTGGATATTCTGCGTGGTTTTCTGAGAACTGCGCCATTCTTGGATGGTTATTTGGCTCAATGGAGCCATCTGTTTGCAGGATCCACCAGTTTCATAGCTCTGTTCTGAAGTTATGGAGTATATTATCAGAGATGTATTCTCAGTCAGAACGAGGAGTTTGTGTTTATGAGCTTTCTCAGGAGCTCTCATATGCTCGACACGGAGATATGACCGTTCAGGATTATTATGGCTATTTGACCCAGCGCTGGCTTGAGTATGAGACTCTACGTCCTCTTGCTTCTATTCCGAAGATAGAGCCCGAGGGAGTAGCATTCTTGCATACTCGAGAACAGGAGGATAGGATTCACAAGTTCCTTATGGGGCTTCGTGATGAGTTTGAGGGACCTCGTTCTCAGATCTTGTCGATGTTCACACTTCCTTCTCTTTATGAGGTGTATGGGATGATTGAGCAGCATGAGCGTCGAGTCCGTATTGCATCACTTTTAGTTGCGACTTTGACTCCTTCGGCTGACCAGATGGCCCTTGCAGTTGCTGCAGGGTCTCGTTCAAGATCCTCAGTCAGGGGTGGACAGCGTTCGGATCAGCGCCGTCAGGGTGCCCCAGATCAGCGCAGACAGGGGGATTCCCGTCAGCAGCTGCTACTCCGCCTTGGCAGAGTGATATGGATGTTATCACTTCCCCATTAGATATACTTATGTCTTCTCCGACTTCTCAGAGTCTGACTACTACTGCTGTCACCACTACAGGTATACCTCGTGTCGTTCACGCTTGTGCCAGTTCATCTCCTCTTTGGATGTTGGACTCGGGTGTGAATGGTCACATGACAGGTGAGGCCCATCACTTCACCACTTTTGACGAGCAGTTACATACACAGGTTCAGTTAGCAGATGGGATACATGCCCCTATTGTTAGTAGGGGTACAGTCCGCCTCCCACCTAGATGGCCTTACATTACGTTCGGTTTTTCATGCGCCAAAGTTGGCCATGAATCTATTATCTGTAAATCAGTTAGTCAGAGATTTTCACTGTGCGGTTGTATTCTTATCTGATTCGTGTTATTTGCAGGACCTGAGTACCAGGAGGATTATTATCAAGGGATATAAGAAAGATGGACTGTATTATCTTGGCAATCCACCTCCAGTTTTACCAATTCCTCCACCTACATCACCTACACCTGCACCTGCTTTGTCTTTTTCTGTTCCTAGCTTGCATGCTAGTATTTTACCTAGTAGTTGTCGTTATAATTTTTTGTCACAAACTGTTCGGTTGTGGCATAATCATTTTGGACATACAAATTTTAAATATTTATGTATGTTGTTTCCTGCTTTGAGCAATGCTTGTGTTGGTGGTAAACTTGACTGTGTTATATGTTCCCTATCGAAACACAACTCACTTGTCCATATACTCCTGAGCAAAATGGTGTTGCTGAAAGGAAAAATAGGAGTTTGATAGGGATGGTACGTTGTATGCTTAGAGGCATGAGCGTACCAAAATCTTATTGACATTTTGCTGTTTTAACTTCTACATTTCTGTGCAATCGTACGCCGAGTCGTGTTCTTCAGCATAAAGCTCCCTTACAGGTCTTATTTCTTGAGCGGACACTTTTTTCGATTCCCCCTCGTGTTTTTGGATACACATATTTTGTTCAGCATCGGTCTCCTACTCGTCATAAACTTGATGATAAAGCGATTCGTTGTATCTTTGTGGGCTATTGTCATCAATCTAAGGGATATCGGTGTTATGATCCTATCAGGCACCGTATGTATCACAGTTTAGATGTTACTTTTCTTGAGCATATTCCTTATTTTCCTCCCGGTCCTGTGTCTGCCCCTCCAGTTGATGATACTCCCTTTGATTTTTCATTACCATAAGAGTCAGAGTCATTGGTCATTATCCCTACAGGGTCATCTGTTTCTCCTCCTTCAAAACCACTCATCCCTATCAGTATAGAGTTACCAGTCTTTCTTCCTTTGCAGGTGTATGTTCGTCGCCCTCGCTCTCATCACCCTGCTGATGTCCCCTCTACCTCAGGCGATGCAGGTAATACTTCTCAGTTTGTTAAGCATATTGATGCACTTATTGTTAGTACTGATGAGATTGCAGGTGCTGAGCCAGTTCATTTACCTAATGAGACATTATCAGTGGAGGAGTATGATTTAGGGCGTCATTATCTGCGGCGTGATCGCCTTCCAGTTGATCGTTATGATTGGACCGCCAGGATTTTATATCCGATCTTTGCTTATATTTCTTATGGTGATCTGTCTCCCATATTTCGAGCTTATGCTATGGCCTTATCAGATACGCCGGTTCCTCGCTCTATTTCGGAGGCTATGCGGGAGCCCCAATGGGTTCTTGCCATGCAGACAGAGATAGACGCTCTTCAGCGTAATCATACATGGCATCTTGTCTCCTTACCTTCAGGGGTGAAGCCTATTGGCTGTCGTTGGGTTTACACCCTAAAGTTTCTTGTGGATGGTACTATTGATCGTCACAAGGCTAGACTTGTGGCGAAGGGCTTTACTCAGGTATCAGGTCGTGATTTTGGTGCTATATTTGCCCCTGTGGCAAAATTGACTACTGTTCGGTTGATTATTTCTCTGGCTGCAGAGTAGTCTTGGCCTCTTCATCAATTAGATGTGAAGAATACGTTTCTTCACGGTGATCTAGACGAGATTATTTATATGGATGCACCACCGGCTTTCGTGGTGAGGGGGAGTATGCTGGAAAGGTATGTCGACTGTGTAAGTCTCTTTATAGACTGAAACAATCGCCACGAGCCTAGTTCTCTCGCTTTAGTGATGTAGTCGTGCGATTGGGGTTCACCAGGTGTCATTCTGATCATATCTGCTTTATTCGACGGAATACTTCTGGACAGTATGTCATCCTTCTGGTATATGTTGATGATATTATTCTTACTAGTGATGATGTTTCTAGGACTGCGCAGGTCAAGATAGACCTTGGGAAGGCCTTCGATGTGAAGGATCTTGGATTTCTACGATACTTTCTTGGGATTGCGGTTGCCCGTAGCAGCAGGGGTGTTGTTCTTTCTCAGAGAAAGTATGTTTTGGATCTTCTTTCAGACACTGGGATGTTGGGGTGCAAACCGGCATCATCACCCATGATTCCAAACCTGAAGCTTACTGCTGAAGGTGAGGAGTTGAAATATCTGACAGTTTATCAAAAATTGGTAGGTAGACTTATCTACTTAGCCAATACTAGGCCGGACATTTCATTTGCAGTCAACCGAGTTAGTCAGTTCATACACAGGCCATGTTAGCCTCATCTTGATACAGTTTATCATATTCTTCGGTACCTCAAGTCTTGTCTTGGACTTAGGTTGTTTTATGCATCAGGATCTCAGATCGGTTCTCTAGCCTGTTATTCAGATTCAGATTATGGGGGAGCATGTGATGGTCGATCTACTACGGGCTTCTGTGATTTTCGAGGGACTCATCTTATCTCTTGGAAGAGCAAGAAGCAGACAGTTGTCTCCCGCTCATTAGCAGAGGCAGAGTATCGGGCACTGGCACTTGGCACGCGTGAGATTATCTGGCTACGATCGATTCTTGGCAAGTTGGGTTTTTCAGTGACTGCTCCATCCACATTATATTATGATAATTGATCTGTTATTCAGCTCGTTGTTGACTCTGTACTACATGAGAGGACGAAGCATATAGAGATCGATGTTCACTTTCTTCGGGAGAAGGTTAGCAGTGGTATTGTCACTCCATTGTTTGTGGGGACTAGTGATCAGGCTGCGGATGTTTTTACCAAACTTGTCACTCTGTCTATTCTTCGGGACTCCGTTGTCAAGCTTAACTTAGTTGACATTTTTGCGCCTAGCTTGAGGGGGAGTGTTGGAGATATAGCAGCAACCTAGTTTATTAGGGTTTTATTAAGTTTTCCTTTTTTTTACCTTTTTGTCCTTATTGTAACTCTCATTGACTATATATACGGGGGCTCTACACTTAATTTGTATCTCATTCACTCACAAATATTTCTAGTAAATCTTCTGGTGGAAAAACATAGCTAATTAGTCCTTTGGTAGTTGGTAGGGAAACCAAAGCCATAGTAATGTGATGGCAAACTATTTTAGAATAATCATGTAAAAATGTAACAGCACGAAAAATAGTTGATATAAATTTGAGAAAAAGCTAAACCGAAAAAACTACAATGCACCGCATGGAAAAAACACTCCCATGTGAATAAGGTGCTCATTAGAGACAGAAATAAAGCTTCACCAATATATAAGAAACCACAAGATAGAAGGCTATAAAAAAATTAAAAAAAAAAGAACATGAATCACCGTGACTTATAAATTTCTGTTGGAAGTACTAACATCCCAGAAATTCCACAGCTGGTTATGCAAGCAACTCCAAAATGGTGCAGAGCAAAAGTCTGGCTGTCCATTGAAGGCCTCATAACTGACACCAATTTTGTTACATTCAAGGCCATCTAAGGTGAACCTGACTCTTTCAAGCAGCATCCACATAGAAAAATTGCTCCCCAAATTTTGTGGTTGACCTGTGCCACCCTTCAAGAGTAAAAACAAGAAACTCAGCAATTCAAAACCACCTGAAAAATACTAAGGCCGTCAAACTATAATTCAATCCTAATCATATGCATTGGATTGTTGGAGAACCGACATGTTAGGAGTATGAAAGTTTTTGGAACATTGGCTTGCAGCTGGTTCTAAATATGACAAAGGCAATACTCAACTAAACTTGTTGGCTCAATGACAAGCTTCAAATCCAACAGCATAGGGTTGGCTGCAAAGTTGCCTCTAGAGGCTGTATGGAGGTTGTATCCTCTGCTAAAGCTAAGGTTATTGTAAGTTTTCTAGACATATTTGTGTTGTCTCACAGCCTCAACCACAGCCAATTTGCCCTTCTGCATCCACAGATTGACTCACTCTTGGTACTAGGGCCTTAGTCAGCTGTTGCACAGATCTCAGAGACTTTGACAAGGTAGCATTCTACATGATTGGTTAAGTACATTGATTAAAAGTTAGATAGACTCTACCACTACCCAGTGCAACCACTGTTTCCCACATGGAGAGGTGACCAAATAGAACCATGGACTAACTAGGGGTGCCACATAAACAAAGAGGAACCAAATACCAAATCAAACAAATCCGTATAGAAAAACTTGTCCATGGCCTCCCAAGCCCAACTCCATCGAATTCAACCACTTATTTACAAGTAAAGATGCCCAAAGGTTTATATCCTAGTTTGGAAGGTTCCAAACACATAACTATTTATCACAAACATCAAAGGAACTTTGTATATGCACTTCTGATGCCAGAATTTTCCACTGAGAGTATAACTGACAGTAGCATACATAATTTAAAAGATAAATCTCTTTGATAAACCAAAATCCTTCTAGAGTGGCCCCAAAGTTGATTGAGAATTCTTCTAGAAAAACTAAGTATCCAATTTCCCAGTTTAGTAACAACATTTCTCGAAGAAATTAATATTGACAACTGATCATTAATAACCCAGTCAAAAACAATTTAAAGCCATAAATGGCTTTCTGCATCTTTGCCATGTTGTTATGTAGATAAGCTAAAAATATCTATTGATCTGTTATATTTAATAAGCGGCAAACAAGATGGAGGTCTGCAAGAGCATGTATTACATAAAAGCATCAATTTTCAATCAAAAATACTTGGAATGGATTTGAACCAGAAAATACAAAATAAGTGGGCCAGACTTCGTTGTTGAAATACAGAAAAATGTATACTTCCAAAGTTGGAGGTGCTCAACAAACTAACCCAAATTTGGAAATTCATATTAGAATGGAGGATATGATTAATTGCAGTAGTATAAGGACACTTATCATTATTATAGCAGTGAAGCAAGCATACCTGCCTCGGAATAACAAGGTAGTAATTATCAAATGATGGAATGTTTGTGTACCCAACGTAATCTCCAATAAGATTCACCCGAAGAAAATTATCACTGGATGTTGCAGTTCTATTCTCAGGACCCACAACCACAATCTGCCGGTAAAAATATCGATAAATATCTTCAACAGATTATTCATAATGTAGATTATCTAATTTCAATTGAAGTAGCCTTTAGCTTTCTGTATCCAACAGCTATAGCTACAGCAAACAAAACACTAGACTGTAGCATTCAGCAGCTAGCAAACAAAACATTAGATATAGATGTCGCTAAAAACAAAGCTGACCCAATTTATACGACGTAAAAGAAAGAAATAAAGAAGAAGCAGGATAAAGTTTGTTAAAAGATCAATGATCCACGACTCCTTAGTCCTTGCTCTTAATATACTTAATACAGAAAAAAAATGTTTTACTTTTTCTTAAACCAAAATTCTATGCGCGTTTTTCTTTTCATCCCTTGAATTTATCTTAAAATGAATATTAAAATGTGTTTTATACTTGACTTTTTTCACTGTCTTTTAAACTTTTTAGTCAATAAAATTTTAACTTACCCCCCCCCAGCCAAAAAATAAACTGTCTATCCTTTTCTTAATATAGAATGATTGTTTACACCACAGAAGGTAACAAATAACAATGAGAAAACTAATCTGCTTCATACAGCACAATTTCAAAACAAATTTATACAAAATCATGCAATTAACTGAATGACTTATCATAAGCTATTGATATAGTCATGGCTATTTAAAAGGATGTTTGATAACTGCATACCGACAATGTTGACTTTGTCTTCACTTCAATTTGAACACTAAATCCAACGGAGAGTTGTCCAATACCAAACACATGGAACCTAAGTGGATAAGAACTGGTTATGATTATTGACTAACACAAAAAAAAAAGATGAGCAAAACAAAGCAAATGCAAGGCTTGCTCAGATTGAAGCAAATGTGGAGTGCTATCAAACCTACAAAAATAAAAGGAGTTGGATCACTAATAAATCTCTATGATCTCAACTGCTACCTTTTTTTTATCCAAGTTGTCATCTCTGTGGGATCTAACCCTTGAAAAGCTTTACCTCCAACTAAAATTATAAAATTTAAGCAACTAGTTGGGACATGTGAAGCACAATAATAAGAAAAATGAATGCAGAAACTACTAAGATGAGGTTTTTTTGTAATAATATTGAGATAAGCTCACAAAGCAGTATGGGTCATTAGGGAAATATATGACATAAATATAGCAACAGTAGATTAAACAGTTCACAAAACTAAATAACTTCACAAAAGAGAACCTTCTACTGATTTTCACAACATTTTATGTCTTACTCTTCAAACCCTTCAAAGAAATAAAGGTCCTCTTTTAAAAAAATTTAGTAAAAATAAAAAAAAACTAGGGGTCATACCAATCACCTGGAAACCGAAGACAATGTGCAGTATTAGCCTTCCCTTTCATCAGCTTATCAACTAGTTTGACAAAAAAGAATAGATCAATTTTTTAAAATCTATAAGCTGCAACCTTCATAAAAGTTTGATGATGCCAAACGTCTGGTATCTTGAAACTTACAAAAGTTCCCACATGATGAAGGCACCCTGCGCTGGTCCCCACAAGGGCAACAAGTCGGCTGTGCAGAAAAGATCAGAAGAGGACCATCAAATACGTTAAAAAATTATCCAAAACTTTGTGAAGATAACTTAGAAGTTTGAACATAATCAATTATAAACATTATGAAGGAAAACAAAATATACGTCAACAAACAACAAAATTTCAACCTATGGCACTACTATGAGAACCGAAAAATCGAAAGAACTTTAGAGAATGTAGAATGGTAACTTCAACACCCTTGATATTATTTCAAAGAAGATTAATATCTTTTTATGGAGCTTGAGTGACTTCACATATTAGTTAAAGCCCCTGTTGCTTTTTCTCTTTTCTCCCTCTTTTCAATCTTCGATGAGTTCAAAAAGGGTGCCAACAAAGGGACCGAACAAAGTCCAGAATAGAATACAACCACTTGCCAGCTATCTCCAAAAATCTAAAAAAAATGGAATCGCCTCATGCATCAAGCAGATAAAACTATATCCCAGTACCATCAAACATTTCAATTTTTAGTATATACATTAATATCCTCCTCTCAAAATCTCTTCTATTCCTTTCATTTCCATAACGTACCACATCAAGAAAAGAGGTGCTGTCCAAAAGTTTCTCTAGCCACCCTACTTCCCAGCATAACTTAAATACTTAGAAGAACCTTCAGAAAGCCCAGCATAACCCAGTCAAACCCAAATACGGCAAAGAACATCAAAGCTCTCTAGGATCATCACAGTGAAGCAGTAGTGTAACCAAAATTTTGACGAATGTTTTCTTGGAAATCACAAATTTTGGGTGCCTTGTGATGAAAGATCACTGAGCAGTGGGATTCAATGATATTCAAGCCCGTAAAGATAAGCTCATCGAAGGTCCTTCATTTATCTGATTCCCCTCAATAAAAAATTTGTAGATACCTCTGCAATGAAGAGGCATATAATACAGGAAAAGGAGAAGCATCCTAAAGGCTTTTCAAAGATCTTTTCATATTCGGATACTGAGGGTAGTAGAGAGCAGATTGTTTCTGTTTATGTATGCATGGCTTTGTAAACAGGAGTACTAGACAAACATGTCATGGAGACAGCCTCTCTGCACACAGTAAGGCCGCTTATGTGTAACCCTTCCCAGACCTTGCACTAGTGGAAGTCTCATGCACTAGGCTGCTCTTTTAAAAACACACAAATCAACTTAGATTTCTTCATTCGACAATTATGTCACTAGTTCTAACATCCTCGTACGATTTTATAAAACAATTATGCGCTAAGGACCAACATAAAAGGAATTGACCTAGAATAATAAGATAGACAATTGCTAATATATAAAAGTTATGTAGCAAGTGAAAAAAAAAATTCAATGCATATGATGAACGAAGAACAATATCCAAACTTGAAAATCGTACCTGTGTGTGCTCAATTATGTGACCCTTGTCATCTCTCAACCTATGTTTCACGAAGCCAGTCAGTCAAACAAACAAATGTACACTGTAATTTTAGTTTGGAATATTGAAAAAAGAAATACTACTTTCAAGTTTCACCCATGCTTTTTGAAAAGACATTTCAAAGAAACCATGTTGGCTAGTCAATAGAATCAAGGAAATAGATCAACATGTCATATGTGGCCAACAGCTAATCGTTATTTTCCTATATTTTGAACCTTGAGAAAATAAACATGGAAGATTCAGAAAACAGAAGGGATTCAGAACAAAAAATTTACACATGAGAACTGAGCAGTAAAAAAATATTCGTAGAAGTTGGACTTCAATTCCCAGTACACAACCACAAGTGTAAGGTGGCCTCATAAACCATAACGGCACACATCACAGAGAGGCTATAATTGACTTTATACATTAAGTGTACATTTTCAATATGCAACTCAGTTACCTTCTTTGTCACCTTAATAGTTTACATACATTCTTCAGAGTATTCTTATCTCTCAAGAATATGTAAGTAAAATGTTAATCATATACCAAAGCTTATAACAATAAACTTATACATATATATATATATATATACACCAAAGCTTAGAGTTACACAACTACATTCAAATGAAATAATACTGCAACCATAGACATTTGACACTCAGTCCTAAAAGTGATCACAAATTTAGAGATATAAAAGTGTTCAGAAAGTGTAAGAGAAGATGATAGATTACTTGCCTCTCACATATCTTCACAACATCCTCACCAGCATCCGGCTCACATTTGCGTGTCTCAACATAATATTCCTGTGGTTTATAAGGAACATCCTACAGATGATATAAACATATGAAAGTAAAATGGGTCAGTTAACAGCTAAAAACCATCAAGTCCATAAAAAGGTAGAATGTATAACAATTAATTATTCTATACTTTTCTAACAACAAATTTATCCTAATAAATGCACTATTCTAAAGATGGCATTACTAAACATTAAACGGAACAATGATCCAAAAATGTATTTAATAGAATCACTTCAAAAAATTGTGGGGAGAGGGCTTGGCCAGTTTGGGAACCCCCTCCCCCCCCCCCCCAAAAAAAAAACAAAAAAAAAAAAAATTCTAAGGTTTTCCATTACTAGATTAAAAAACAAATTTTCTCAAATGAAATTCTCACCCCTTGGCCATGTTATTAACCATTCCCCCACATTACCAAGGTCATCACGCCTCTAATTCTCCAATT